GCATGCCCCAGGATCCATTTCTTTAAAGGACAGTCTACATGTTTTTTCCAAATGTATACCCTGAAATATTCAAATTGTTGTTAAGATTTCAGTATAATCCAATAGTCTTCACTGCAGATATAAAACAGGCCTTTTTACAGATTCTCGTACATGAAAAGGATCGAGACGCAACCAGGTTTCTGTTTTCCGAAGTCCCTAATGATAAAACCATTTTTCCTGACTTATATAGGTTTACTAGAGTTTTATTCGGAATAAATAGTAGTCCATTTCTAATAGCCGCTACCATTAAACATCATCTGTAAAAATATAATAGACTTTATCCTACAACAGTTTACTTTTTGAATGAGAACATATACGTAGATGATGTGATTGGAAGCCAACCAACGATCAATGAAGCATTAACTACGAGTCTAGAATCGGTCCAAGTATTTAAGGAAGCAAGCATGCAGCTTCACAAATGGCATAGTAACTCGAGACAACTACATGAATTGTGTGTAAAACAGGGTATCGTTCCAGATGAAAATTCTGAAGATTTTAATAGAGAAAATTTCCCATTTATGGTATTAGGTATGGCATGGGATAATTCAAAAGACTTACTGTATTTTGATGTTCGGAACTTATTGTCTTTCACATCTAAAATAATAGAAACAAAACGATTTCTTTTACAAGTGTTGGGTCGGATTTTCAATCTAATTGGAATTTTAGAACCTTTCACCGTTAGAATAAAGTGCTTAATACAGAAGATTGGGTTATCACAAATAGATTGGGATGAACCGTTGCCTGAAGATTTATCCTCTGAATGGAGAAAGTGGTGTGAAGAGCTATCTCAAATGGCTGAATTCTCCATTGCTCGTTACTTTTTCATGTCCTCGAACTTTAATGTCGAAAATCTCGAATTACATTGCTTCTCAGATGCAAGTGTCAAAGCCTATGGTACAGTCTCATATTTACATTTCACGACAGAAAATAAAGAAATCAAAATGGCCTTTGTCTCTTCTAAAATTTGGGTAGCCGCACTAAAATCCCTTATTTTACCGAGGTTAGAATTAATGAGGGCATTGTTATCGGTTAAGTTAGTCAGCAATATTCTGAAAGTACTGAAACTGAAAATTCTGTGTTATTTTTAGACAGACTCAACAATTACTTATTTTTGGATCCAAAAACAACCTGAAGCTTTCAAACCCTTTGTCAAGAATTGTGTTAAAGAAATACAAAAATTGAGCTCATCTCAAGATTGGCATTATTGCCCAGGTGTCGACAACCCTGCAGATCTCGTATTCCCCAAATTCCCCCTCTCCCCGAGACCATTTGAACGCAAGGTCCCCAGTGCCTTCAACTCCCTCACGAACTTTGGCCATGATTAGATATTAAAGAAACAATAGATAAAAACAAGCTGGAATACCGAAAGGGATCCAGTGACATACATCAACTTGAATGTACAATCGAAAAAAGTACAGATGATCTTTTCGACATATCAAAATATAGCAAATTAGAGGAGGTGTTAAGAGTCACTGCTTGAACAACATGTTTCATTAAAAAATTAAGAAAAACTAGCGACATTCAAGGAACTCTCACAGCTTAAGAGTTACAAGAAGCAGAAAATTTCTGGATAAGATCAGAGTAAAAGAAGTTTTTTGCCGAAGAATATAAATCCCTTAAAGAAGGTAATTCGGTTGGAAAAAATTCTACTTTGTACGATTTTCTTCCTTACATTGATGAAAAGGAGACTTCTTCGAAAACGTCACCGACCAGGGAAGAAATATCAGCACCTGGCTACAAAAGAAGCAATTAGAGCGTCAATATTGGCATACAGCAATGCAACAGGCAGCCATAAGCTCGAACTAACGCTTATAGACAAATTAAAAATCTCCGGGCATTTAAAAACTTAAAAAAGTATACTAATGGGACAGAAAACAAACTGTGATCTTCCTGTTTGGTACCTTAATCAATCAAATGTATGGATGAATGGCATAATATTTAATGATTGGTTTCATCAGCAGTCTGTTCCATTGCTGGAAATGTTTTTAAAGTAAAAAAAACTACTCAGGAAGGCAATTCTCATTTTAGACAATGCTTCATCCCATCCTGATGTAGAATGGTGAAGAGACGAAGATATAAGAGACATGTTTCTCCCTCCTAACGTAAATTCAATGTGTCAGCCGATGGACCAGGTTGTTTTGGAGGCATTGAAGAAAAAATACAGAAATAAACTTTCATGTCCTAGCCATGGAGGAAGTGTGTGATATGATTGAGAAACTGAAGAAAATAGATATGTTGAATGGATAGTTCATTCTTGGAGTGAAATTGAGCAGATAAGCCTCATTCATTCCTAGAGAAAGGATTCACAATTCAGGAAATGAATTTCACGAAAGTAGAGAAGAGACAAAAAATTGTGAAATAGTTGATTTACTTCAGAAAATTTCTGGCAGCGAAGAAGTTACTGAAGGTAATGTTGGAATAATGGATGGGACAAGATGAAAAGTGTGAAATTTTAGGGTATGCAGAAATAGTTGCACTGGTAAAATACAATGTGGATAAAAATGAAGATGAATCAGAAATCGAAGAGATTGAAGACAATGGGAAAGATAAAATGCTGAGTCATAGTGGCGGACTGAAGGCCGCTGAAGGAATGCTGCATTACATGGAGGAGCAAGATGCATCTGGTATGGACATTTTGTTGATCCGTCACCTATGGAATGAAAATTCACGATGATGGAATGATATTTGAGAGACCATCACATAATATTTTCTATCAAGAACTGTTAATAATTTTTCTTCATTTTTGTATATAAGTTTTTTTGCTCAGTTATCTTAGGGTATTTGTTCTTTTTATGACTCCTATGGTACTAGAACTTGACAAAAAATCAATATTAAATTAATTGTATGCTGTAATTTTCCGTGTCCAAAAATGTGGTACAAATGTCCAAAGTAATTTACAGTTAAATATTAAGAGTTCTGAAAAGCCCATCCCTTATTCAGTAAAACTTGACAGTCCTTCAGTCCACATTATGTCAAGTTTGTGGGACTCTACTGTATTTCTCAAACTGTAATGTGTTTATAGTCATGTGATGATAATTATTCACAGGGTTGGCATCAGTGCCAAAGTGCAAAAAAGACTTTCCACATATTTTATTATGAAACAATACCAAGTGTGCAAGTGTAAAGCATAAAAAAAGTTCCTGGTTCAATTTTAAATCATTCTAGAAAGTGGACATCAAAATTTCGGACTTTATTCTATAAATATGTGTATGCAAATGACCAAACTGTGTATACTTTTCTTTTAATTTTCATATTTTGGACTTGTGTTGTAGAGTCATTAGGTTAATTGGAAGCAGAAAAGATGAAAAATATGCAACCGCCTTCACCGGGAATCGAACCACAGACCTCTAGAGTATCGGTTCAGCGTGCTACCATTACACCACGAAGGCATGCTAGGGAAGTGAGAGAAATACCTTATAGTGTATGCAATAGAAGTGTAATGTTTAATTAAACTGAAATGTTTTATATAATATGAAAAAGAATTTTATGCAGAATTGAGTATAAAATTCAGAGTTCAATTGTAATGTTTAATTAAACTGAAATGTTTTATATAATATGAAAAAGAATTTTATGCAGAATTGAGTATAAAATTCAGAGTTCAATTATGTGCATTAAAAAAATATTGTGTAAACTTTATCAAACACAGGTTTGAGTAAAAAGGAGATTTTTCTGGCCACAGTAGTCCTTCCTATAAGGATCAGTCAGTTAACCTTAGCTGTCGCATCCTATTATATAACAAATTGGAAAATGTTAGTTTTGCTGTTTTTACCCTCTATTGTTTTAATTGGTTATTAATGGCTACCAGAATGCAAATGGAAATTGTGTGAATGTTGTTTTGTAATTAGTCTGATTTATATTATAGCTGATAAACAGAATGACTTTTGATTGGATCTTCATGCATTGAAAGTGCAAAAACAACTGAGGGACTGTAAATAATAAATCATGGATATCTATTGTCCAAGTTTTAGGGAAACAGTGTTACTAACATAAATAGAGATCAAATCAGTTGATGACAGAAGGATTTTGTTACATTGAAATGTTAAAACAAGTATTTGAAAGTGTATGATTCAGCATTGCTGTGTGCATTATTTCTTAAACTGCAATGTGTTAATAGTCATGTGGTGATAATGATTTACCAGGAATGCCAAAGTGAAGTTAAGAATAGAGACTCTCCACATGTTCTATTGTGAACATTATGTTGATATTAAAGTTTTAACATCCTAGAACTATTTATATATTTATGATTTTGAAAAAGAATCTAGATCATATATTTTCTGCTTTAAATGAGGGATATTTTATTAGACCAGCTGCCTGAAAATAATGGTGCTTATGTATTAGCACAACCACCTTGGTTGAGTTTAAGTTTTCAATTACACATACACACAGAAGAAAAGGAATGATAATTAATAATTGCAAGAAACTATTGCTATCATATTTCATGTGTTAATTAGGTACTTATCTTGAAAATAAATCAATAAATTTACTTACAAGAATGTTTTTGTTTGTTTTGTTCTGGTGGAAATTTTTTGGCTGTTCCCATAAGAATAAATTCAAAGCCATTGTTCCCTTTGGCAATTTTGCACAAAATACTGCATTTTTTCAGAAATTTTACTGTAGTTTTTTTTTTAAATTGCAGATAAAATACACAAGCTTATACCTTAAATGAAAGCATAAAATAATTTATCTATAAAAACTGTTGGAACTTCGAATACGACATAAAACTGAGGAATTGCAATGTTCATGGTTACTAGAGTATGGCATGTACTGAAAATTTTGTGCATCTACTCTGGTGGTTGTACTAATATGTAAAGTTTGGTTAATTGTTCTAATATTAAATCTTAGTAATATATAATAGTAAACAATGAGTTTTAAATATTTTGTGTCATACAACTGATATCTTAACAGCAAATTTGTATTCTAAATTTCAAAATTTCTAACTTAGCACAAAGTAATATATTATGATTACAGTCAATACATACTATATTTTAATTTTTATTTCAGGTTCATGAACTACTTAAAAAGCAAAGGCAACTCCAAGAGATGTTTTCTATATGTGACAAAACTGAAAGAGAACAACAGATAAATTTAGCACAAGCAATAAACAACAGTCAAGATCATGAGAAGATGTATCGAGAAAAAACAAAGTATTTATCTTTGATAGCTGGTACAGTAGGTGCCTTTTTAGGTTTAATTGCATCTACTGTGAATGTATGGCGATACAGGAAAGAGGTCAAAGATATCAAAAATTGTGCAGGTAACATATCATGTGATGTTAACGAATTAAAGAAGACAATTGATAAATTGAGTTTTCCTTTCTTGTTCAATGGAGAACTTATAAATCCATTTCTGATTCAGAATGATAGAAAACAGGGAGAAGATTTGTTATCAAAAGTAAAACTTCATCAAGAATTGCTTGACAATTGTATAAAAAATTTAAGTGTGTTAGTAAGTGATAAACTAAATAAAGGTTCAGAAGAAAATGGTGAAATTTTTAGTGATATGCATATTAAACACATGTTAAATAATTTTGAAGAAAACATTAATTCCAGGCTAAATTTTCATTCATCAGTAAGCTTAATTTTGTTAGGCTCATTATTAGCATTTAGTATATATGCATTTGTTAATAGGTGATTTAGAATAATTGTCTTAATGTATTATTTTGTAAACAAAAAAAAAAAAAAAATATAGTTTAAAAGATCATAAATTGCTTTGACTGTTACAATTAGTTTTCAATTTTTTGCTTTTGAAATCATTTAAAATTCTTACCCTTTGTTTCAAGCAGTTGCTGCAAATATTGTTTGAAGCTTGTTAAGCATTTTTATGTGAAAGATAATCTTTTTTAATCTCTTAAAGCAAGATCAGTTTATTTACATAGCTCATATTTTCTCATAATTTTACTATTATAAAAAAAAATTCATCTGTAAAATTATATTTGCATTAGTTTTATTCATTTCTATAAATAATTTCTAAATGTAAAAATATGTATTCTAATAATAAATATTATTTATATATTTTGTGTCCATTTGTTTGCTATCTTTCAAGTAATTATTGGTTACAGAATGGGTTTTTGTATTTATTATATTGCATTACTGGACTTCGTAAAAAATTGTTCACATGACAAACTTCATGAGGCTCAGCAACAGTGTTGCAGTTCTTCACAATTACAGCAAGCTCCATATAGCGGTAGATGAAAATGCAAGATGCCCATCAGTTTCATCATATTAAATATCTATACATATATAGTAGCAATGTTGATGGCATAACATGTAGATAGCTTAGAACATACACTGAGCGTGTGCAAAAGAAAAGAAGAATAAAGGGACAGTTCTATATCTCTTGTTCTACTGGGCCGATTGACGAAATTCAAATTGCGTTTTTCATGTCTCGAAAGCGCAACTTAGGATGTATTAGATTTATATATAGCATTGTTGTAATTAAGTATTTTGACACAAAAATCGGACTTTTTCTGAAATGGCATGCCAATGTTTTTCTATATTTCGATTCTACGATTCAAATGATGCCTAAATATTAATTTTTGTAAAATTTGGTGTGAAATTTACGGAGAAATTCAAAAATTTATCTTGACGCATTTTTGGGGGGTTTGCGGCAAGGCACTTGGCAAACTTCTTAATCTATAGCAGCCTACTTTCCTTTCCCTTTTTTTAATTGTACACGAGCGGGAAAAAAGTCATCAAAACATACTTTCAAATAATTTTAACAAAGTGCGTAAACCACATTTGGCATTTTATGGCTTATAACATATTTCAAAACGTGCCAATATATAAAGTCATGTATATCTTACAAAATTTTGATCAAAAAAACGCTTAATTTTTTGCATTTGCACCTAGAAATACGTCTACTTTAAGATAGTGTTAAAAATTTTATAGGTTATAATACAAAAAGTTTTTGGAAAAATTTATAAAAGATATTCAAAAATACAAATTTTAAAAAGGTCATGAAAATGTGCGAATCATATTTGGATTAAACCTAAATTTCTAATTCTGGAAGAAAAAATCAAGTAAGTTTAATAAAAAAGATATTAATAAATATAATTAACATTCAGGAGCTAAAATTGTGAGAGCTATAAGGGGTCGTGTTAATTCATATAAGAGTCCTTTATAGTGTAACAATTATTTATTAACAGGTTTAAGTTACACACGGTCATTACATTTAATATTAAGAAAATTACAGAGCAAGAGTCTGAAACAACCTATTAGGTTAAACACTTGGCTTTTACTGAAGCCTTTTTCTGGCTACTCACCAGACGGCACCCTTGTTGTTACATTTAGTCCAACATTTTATATTAGCAGGAGTTTATATTAAAGGAATGGTTATAACCTCTCCCTCTGGCTCCACCGACACATTTTGACAAGGAGACAGAACTGGAAGATTTGGGAGTTCTTGTAATATTGTCTCTAGTCTCAGTTTTTTTTTTTTTTTTTTTTTTTTTTTTTTTCTGGGCAATGGGACCTCTTTTTAAAGCACTGTCTGGAACTGTTGTGTAAAAAGCTTTTGATGCTGTAAACGAGTGAAAGCAGACGCATTTTAGCATTGTCGCATCAGTGGCCTTTGCATGAATTATAGATGAAATTATTCAATTATTTTAAAATTCAAGAATTTCTTATTAAGTTTTCAAAATAAATATTTTAAAAGGCAACCTGTCTTTCCTTGCACCCAACACGGGTGTTCTTACGTTACGGCTTAATTAAAATGGTGGCAGTGGTGGGATGAGAAAATCCATGTAGAGATTGCAGACCGTCAGGCTCTGAAATTCATCTCAAGTTTGTAGGATAGCCATTGTCCGAACATCATCAGTGTTTTGCAGATATTACAGACCGTCAGGTTCTGAAGAGCACGAAAAGTTACAAACATCAGTTCAAAAAAGTGATTATAGCTCTCCGAAACGATGAAATAAGAAAATCCATGCAGAGATTGCAGACCGTAAGGCTCTGAAATTCATCTCAAGTTTGTAGGACAGCCATTGTCTGAACTTCATCAGTGTTTTGGAGATATTACAGACCGTCAGGTTCTGAAGTGTGGCACGAAAAGTTACGAACATCAGTTCGAAAAAGTGATTTACAGCTCTTTAAAGCAGTGAAGTGACACCAGTCCAGACAAAAAAGTTTAAAAAGGAACGACAGTCTCTTGAATACAGCTCATCTTCAGCAGCATAAATTGTGCAATCATCTTTGTGTTCGAGAAAAATTAATGCAGAAGTATGCGGACCAGCCTTGTCTGAAGATCATCATATCTTTGTGAAGGTGCAGTGTAGTGAGAAAAAAAAAAGTGATACGTGTGTGAACATCTTTGTGCTCGAGAAAATTTAGTGCTGTGAAAGTTGTAGTGTGTTGTGATATAAGTGCTTGGATCTTCAGCGTCCATAAAAATGTGAGAAATCTTAAGCTATGACAGCATTCATTTTTCCAAGCATCAACCATTCAAGTCTACAATTCAGACTGGTAAGTTTTATATTGAGTACTTATACAATTCAGACTGGTAAGTTTGGATTTTTATATTGAGGTAGTAAAATAATTTAATTTATTTCTGTAATTTAGTATACAAGTTCACATAACTGTTTTAAGTCAACTTTGTTTTTTGTAAAGCTTAAAGAAATGTGCTGTTTGGGTTTTATGTTACAATAAAAAGTGTAAATTTTAGAATTTAAATCTGTGTTAATAGATTTTTTAATATCTGAAAGGTTAATGTGTTATGCTCAAATTAAGCTTATATAATTGACTGTGTAAAGGAGACGAATTACTGTAACTTTGAAGGTTCTAAAGATAGGTGGCATTCTGACATTCATTTCTAAGGCATCTTGAATATTATAAATATTAAAATTTTCAGTTAAGGTTTGTCAAACATTATTTGTATAAGAATTGAAAATTTTTTCTAGTGAATGAGTGAAAGGCCTATTAGAAAATATTACTTCAACGAGGCCTTGAGAAAGAAGAAGGAGAGAGGCAGGAAAGATTTAGGAGCAAAGAGAAAGAGAAGAGAGGAAAGAAAGAATTAGGAGAGAAAGAGAAGAGAGACAAGATAAAATTAGGAGAGAAGAAATGGAATTTGAATTATCGAAGTTAAAATTACTAGCCGCTAACAGAAATGTGTAAATGATGGGAATAAAGAAAATGGACTTAAGAAAAGCCGTTACAATCTAAAAAAAAAAAATGATTCCAAAATTTGATACTGAAGAGAACGACATTAGTTTGTATCTAGTCATGTTTGAGTGCCAAGCAAAGAATGAGAATCTTCACCAATCAGAATGGGTTTCGGTTTAATTGAAAATTTTGCCAACTGACATCGTTCAGCTGATTATGTGAACCAGAGCAGCAGGCTTATGACTATGATTACGTAAAGAGGATATTGCTTAAAAAGTTTAAGCTTAGTCCAGAAAAATTTCGTATCAAATTTACAGAATCCCAGAAAAACACTCGAACCACTTGGAGCGATTTTGCCTTTGAACTAAGGAATTATTTTGAAGATTGCAGGTTTGGAAGTTACCGATTTTGAACTTTTAAAGGATCTCATGACAACGGACCAAATGAAGCGCCGTGTAAATGTCGAAGTGCGGGAGCACTCTATTGACGAATGGTCGAAGATAATGACTCCAGATAAATTAGCAGAAATGCTAGAAGAGTATGAAAACGTACGTGAAACCCGGAAGAAGATATCTCCTGTTCATAGTTGAGTCACAATGGGGAAATAAAAATCATTTAAATTCAAGAGATTAGCAAAAGTATCACCAGTCTGGAGGAGAAGATAGATATGGCTTTAACAGAAAGGAACATCTCCGGAATCAGAATGAGCATCAATTTGATATGAGAAGACCACTTAAGTATTATTCTTGTGGTTCCCCCGAACACTTAAGGCCTCAATGTCCGGAAGTTAAAAAGGATCTCAAAACTCCATTTATTGTAAATAGAGTCCAGGAGATTGAAGAAGAGTGTTTAGCACCGTATCTAACTATGGCTAAAGTGAATGGTTTTGATCTTCCAGTTTTGAGAGATACCGAGTCATGCATTGACATAATTTGCAAGAAATATCTCACTCCTTCGATGCTGACGGGCGAGACTGTTTTGGGTAAAACACCCATTTGAAAAGGTCCCAATTTGTTTACCCTTAGCAAACGTTACAATAGAAGGAACTTTTGACCAAGTAACAACAAAAGCAGCCGCCATTATTTGTTAGGGAACAGAACCACTGAAAAATTAGCAGTAGATCAAAATGATAAACTTTCCTTTCAAAAAAATGCGGTGGAGACTCGAGATCCGAGTCAATCAAGAAATGAAATCGGGAAAAGTTGTCCACTGGAATCTGAATGTGGCGAACTCGAACCCTCAAGCGAAGTTTCTCCCCTCATTATAGAAAGGGGTGAAGTCTTGTCTCGGACAAAAAGGATGGAGAAAACCAATTTCTCTCTGCCTGAAATGAAGATGAATGAACTGTCACTGCCTACAATAAAATATTCTTTTGTAGCGGACCTACAAAAGAAAAGTGATGTTGTAAAACCATCTTTTGACTTAGTCGCATTAGACGATCACAGTAACTCTTTGAGAAATATGTACAAGTTAAGAATTTCCTTTTTGGTTCGGCACAAACAAGAAACTGTAGATAAGCTAAATGATGTTTCGTACCAACCAGACTCGGAAGGTTTGCAAGTGCCTAAAAATTGCATAGGAAAATTGCCCAAGACATCGAGTAGTGTAAATTTACCAAGGAGAGTAGAAGAATCCCTAGTTCATCATTTATCTATACTAGTGCCTGATACTGAAGGATCAAGGGGGATTAAATATAGCTATTTCAGGAATGATGTAAATCCAACTTGTAATGAAGTAGTTTTTTCTGATGTTAAAGCCAAATTAAATGTACATGTTTATTTTGAGGTCAAATGTAGTAGTTCTCGTCCAGGTGTTGGGATTAAATGTACATTGAGAGATTATCACAAACGGAAAATTAAAAATCTGCAATGTTTTCCTTTTCAGCCTGGCTTGATATATAATTAATATTAAACTTAGGAATGTGTGTTACATTTTTCAGAAAATTATACGTTCTTTATTTGTATGTGTATAATTAAGTTTAGTTCTCAGTATTATGTTGATTATGTTTTTTTTTTTACTGGCCTCAATATAGTTCTTGTTATCAAAATAGTAAAAACAACCTTGTATTTAGCGTAAGTATAATGAAACACTGAATCGATTTCGAGGGCAGCTAAAAGTCCCTCCTCATCAGGAGAAAGAAATACCAAGAAAGAAGGAGTCTCAGAAACACGTGGTCCTTATCAGTACTGCACGTGGTTATAACTGGATTTATAATCAGAGTTGCACTGGCCGCCTACTTTTACTGAGCCAGGCTATCTGTCAGCATAAAGGACAAGAAAAAATTAGCGAAGTTGAATAGGGAGCAAGAGGCAAATGCACCTTCATTGCTCAAATCTGAACTTCAAATAATGGAAAGCAACCACTGAACGGATTTTTATACCCTTGGTAGTACAAACGCAAGGAGGTAACGCCAAACTGAATTAGATAGTAGAATTTTAAAGGCATAGGAAGACTGGATTGAATTTCAATCATAACTAAACTGCTAAATCTTTGGAATGTAAAAGCCTCAAGAAAATCCAATTCATCTATGAAGAAGCCTTTGGATAATTTTTTGCACACCCAAAGTCAAATTATGGTTAAATGTCCAACTATGATACGCTATTAAGACTTGTTAATTCGCCTTTCTGACATAAGATTCATGTTCCTGATACGAAACTTCAACGCCTTTTTGTTGCCAATATATCTTAAACACACTGACACGAATACTATAAATTCCCCAAGAATTCAAGAAGAACGCAATCTTTAGATCGAAGGGTGAATTTTATTAAAAGGGAGAAACGACTTGAAAATTGAATTTCTGAAGAATCCGTGCAATTTTATAGCTAACAGAAGGATAAAAGGAAGCAAGACAAGTCATTAATATTATTTAACTAACAGGGAATGTCTTTTGATGGAAATCTGAAAATTTTTTAATGCTTATCAATAACACGGGAGAAAATCCCGTCATCGCAGTGCTCTCAATAATTAAGTTCATGGTAAGCAAAGATTCAGAGGAACAAACTTTAAGCGGCGTGGAATACATAATAGTAAAAAGAAGCCATTTTTTGCTTAACAGGGTGCATGACTTGGCATGGGGTGGTACTTTCTCGGTTGGTACTACAGAGGTATAAAATCTGTTAATAAATTTGCTTTCCATTATTGAAGTTCAGATTTTGGCAGAAGGGCATTTGCCCCTCGCTCCCAATTTTAACTTCGCTAATTTTTCTTGTCCTTTATGCTTGATCAGACACCTGGCTCAGTAAAAGTAGGCGGCCAGTGCAACTCTGATTATAAATCCAGTTATAACCGTGTTTCTGAGATTCTTCTTTCTTGTAGTCTCTCCTGATGAGAGGGACTTTAGCTGCCTCGAAATCGATTGAATGTTTCATTATACTTAGCTAAATACAATGTGTTTTTATGATTTTGATTGTCCATTAGCGGTTTTCTTCTAGTCTAGTTCTGTTATGTTTATCCTTGGCACTTAGCCCAGCGTTGTGAAAAAAAAGTATTAGTGCTAATAATTATTAGTCAGTTTTATTATTAAGACTTGTTGTGGTAAGGTACTGAAAACCCCCCAACCACCGGGGAGGGTGGGAGTTGTGACGTTCAGATATATGCACCCTTGGACTTCCAGGTGCTTAATGAGAACTTCCGGTTTTGTTCAGAGACAAAATGGACAGCAGAACTTTGAAGAAATATGCAGCTGAAACCCCCTGGTGTGGTTTCAGGACATAAGGGACTAATTACGTTTCTTTTCCGGTTGTAACAAAAATGAAGAGGGGGTTTTGTGTAAAAAGCTTTTGATACTGTAAACGTGTGAAAGCAGACGCATTTTAGCGTCGTCGCTGCGTCAGTGGCCTTTTTATGAATTATGGCTGAAATGATTCAATTATTTTAATATTTATTCAAGAATTTCTTATTAAGTTTTGGAAATAAATATTTTAAAAGACAACCTGTCTTTCCTTGCACCCAACTCGGGTGCAATAAATAAGTTTAATAATAAAATAAATAAGTTTAATAAAATAAATAAGTTTTAATCGAGCAGAAATAAAATCCATTTTAATTAAAAAATGTAATTGTAAAAAGTCAAAATACCACACAAAATTTTACATTTTCCCCCAAGTTTCCGACACGAAGTGCCATCTAGTGCAAACATATGACAACTTTTAAAGTGAAAGTTGCCACACTGGTGTGAACTGGCGTATGTGGAAAGCCGTTTTTTATGCTTTGACGCCCCAACGGACCAGTGTGAACGCAGCTTTAACCAAAGAAGCATCGGTTAGCAAGTGTTACTCTGTTACACATTTCAGGACACATACTGTTGTTTATACAATTACACAGACAAGGTAAGTGAAACACTCAACACTTCAAATTTATATTTTTCAATTTCTAAGAAAGAATTATTAAATTTTGACTTAGTGCATGGTATATATTTAGTTGGGTATATCCCTATATTACATTGATTTAATACATGATGATACAATATTACTAAAATAATTACTTGTGTTTCATGAAATTATATAACCCTCGAAATTATGTAAACAACTTTAGCAGAAACAAAGATACCATAATTTGAAATCTACCCAGCTCAACAACAATCGGCAAAATACCTTCAAGCTTACAGTTTGAGAGATAAAAGACTACTTTAAAGGGATTAACGAGAAAATTTCATAAATACTTATTTTTTCCACTTGCACAAATTTCAAAAGACCAAGAGTTGCTAAAAGTACAGTTCAGTTCAGCAATGAACGAAAACAATACACGTCAAGACTTTACCATATTCTGAATTAAGACAATATCTCTTACACACACACACAACAACAACAACAAAAAAAAAAAAAAGTGGTGCAAAAACAGTGCACACCAGAAATGAAAACTCCAAAATAAAAATGTATTTACATCCTCCGTTTGTTATCATGGGTTGGTGTAATGAAATAAGTAAACAATATTATCATTAGTTATTGCAGCTATCAGTGCATAGTTAGATTAGAGTTTGAACTGCTTTGTATTTATTCATTTACAAAAAATACATAAATCTTCATAGTTTTATAGGATATCCAACTAAAAATTTATTTTTATTATTTAGTCATCAGCTTGTAGTTGCTATTTAATTATCTGCTCTTCTGCTTTGAATAAATAACTAAAATATTTACTCACATCTACAGAAATAAAGGAAATATTTAAAATTAAAAATGGAATACAGTTACTTAATTTGAATTTCTTTATAATCTTTATCTTTTAATACATTTTGTGCAAGCAAAACATTTTCATTTAAAAAACAGAAAACTTTGAATGTTCAGCAAAATAATACTAACAAACAAACGACTCAAATGCTTTGTTTTTATTAACAGTAAATGAAGAATGCAACAAAAACTAAACATATAGATAAACAATCACAGCTTTCTTAATTACACAAATAATTTCATGGAATACATGATTTTGTGCTAGTTCTATAACATCAGAATCATATGATAATAAAATGAAATATTATCTTCCTTTCACCTCTTTTCAATCTTGTCTACTTTCACAATATTCTTGAAGATTTTATTTTCAGAGAAGTGGATTTACTTAAATCAGAAAAAGTACTACTTACAAATAAATCAAATGCTCACTATAGATATTTGAAAATGAGACATTATATAAGATGAAAAATGGCATGGTTACTTATCAGTTAAAAACTAAAAGTGAGGTATTTTTTTTATATCATGATCTTGTGTCTAGTTAGCTATTTTTTTTTATATCATGATCTTGTGTCTAGTTAGCTATCTTAAAGAGAGAGGGAAAAAAAAAAAAAAAAAAAAAAAAAATCAGACTTTGGTTTGTTTTGCCAAATAACATGATCACTGCCAACTCTCCTGGTTTTTAATTTTTAAACTTTACTACAGAAAATATTTCTCAACAATAAATGAAATTTATAAAATTAATGAAACATATCAGAAAAATTCCATTCGCCCCCCTCTAATGATTTTCAGTGTAATTGTTCTTATTAAATTTTATATCATCTGAATATTTTTCCCTTCTTTTTTACATTTTGCTGATCTTGTTCAATTTCATTTGATCTCAGCTGTTTTAATCTACTGTAGATATTTGTAGATTTTCATATGAAGAATCAAGCAATGTTTAATCAGTTATTATTTGTATTTGGTTTTGTTTACTGTAATACAGGATACTTTAATAAGTTTATCAACACAAAAACTTTGTACATTAAATATTAATTTTTTTCACTGTATTTAAAAGTGCTTTGATAGATAAAAGCTTTTTTTCACTAATTGGGATTTTCTCAATATAAGAAAATTTTAAAATAAAATCAGCCAAGGAACATAGTTTAGAATATCCAATTAAATGCTAATATATTTTATATCAGAATTGAGTTACAAATAGTTCAGTAATCTGAATCATGTATTATAAAGTGAATTAAAATCAGTTTGAAATTCCTTAGAACTTTTTGCCCACAACACACAAAAACCTCCCGTTTCTTGGTTTTCTCGCATTTCAAGTTTGGCAGGTGTGCTACTGAAAGAAGTCCCAACTTCTTGAATAACATATTAGAAGTGAAATGTCAAATAAAAATTGGGAAACTTTCTGAAAGATAAAAACATTTATAGTTCAAAATCAAAAGTAAAAGCAATGCTCATTGCCAACTATAGTGACATTTTGCATACAGAATTTTGGGTTTAATGGACAAAGTGTTATTTCTGTTTATACACTTTGGTATTTCAAGACATTTGTGTACAAGAATACATTACATGAGGACAGGGTATTGTACAATTGACTTCTTTTTCCCTGTGACATTTCTCGTCATCATTTGAAGGTTTTGGGCTCTAAAGTACTCTTGAATTTTTTCCATATCTGGAAAAACTTTTTCCACATTTTCTGGGAAAAACAATAAATAGTTTTTATTCTCTGTAACTATTTATTGTTTTTCCCAAATCAAAAAACTTAAATGGTATTATTTGGATGATATTTCACCACCAAGAAAGCAATGTTTCAAACTGTAGACATTTAACTACTAACCAACAAGCACTGTAAAGCACCAAGCTAAGAAATCGCATATAGCTGTGTAGAGATTCTGATGTAAAAATAAATAATTCAGTATTTTTTTTCTAGCATCAATCTCATTTTCAAACTACTGTTGTTTAAATTCTATATATACAGGCCGGTTTTTTTTTTTTTTTTTTTTTTTTTTTTTTTTAAACTGATGGTATTCAGAGACCTCTGTAGCTTGAACTATCAGCCGCAAAGCCACAAAATTTTGTACATGGACTATTGACGACATGGGGAAAAGGTATCCATGAAAAAAAAATTAGTTCTAAAAGTTGCTGATACAGGAAAATGTGGCGCTTTGCACTTTAAGACAGCTAAAATTTTGTATAAAACACAGGAAAAAATTGCAAAATCCCGATTACGTAATCGACACCAGTGCTAGTATTTTGAATTATAAAAAAAAGCGGGAAATGGAGAATGGAAAAATGAAAGAAAATAGAGGTCATATTGAAAATAGACGATGTCTTCCCCGGGAAAACGATTCTACTGAATAAAAACAAAAGAACAAAGAGTAAAAAGGAAATCGAATAGAATGTTCTCTCTCTCTCTTTTTTTTTTTTTAATGTGTAACCATTTTCAGAAGTTATTTTTTGGAATAAAGCACATTTGTGGGAAAATGAATTATTTGTTATTCATTTATCTGTTTACTGTAACTTTTTAAACTGGTCAGAAATTTTATTGTGCAGTTAAACTTAAAATTTAGATCAAATGCGCCATATTCTCCTATCGGCAACTTTTGGAACTAAATTTCTTTTTCACGGATTCCTTTTTCCCATGTCATCAATAATCCCAGTACAAAATTTTGCACATGATAGTTCGAGCTACAGAGGTCTCTAAGTACCGTCAGTTAAAAAAAAAAAAACATCCTTTATATAATTGAAATATGCTAGTTATTGATTTTTGACAATATATGTTTGATAACAAGGAAACGTAATGATGTTTGTGTAATTATTATACAGTTGATTAAGATAAATTCTCAGATCAGATCTGCCTTCTTTCTACAAGAAAGTAAAGCACATGCTTATTGAAAACTTCCCTTACCAAGAAAGAAGTTTTAAATGTTTTCAACTGAAGTACAAAATGGTACATTTATTTAAACATTATATAATCATGCTCATATTCTTTTGGAAATAAAATTCTTAAAGGAGAAGTTTTGAAACGCTTTAATGTAGCTGCCTTTTAGTCTTGATATTTGCTGTTAACAAGTCTCCAGGGGAATACTAAAATTAGGGCAATTTTTAAGATTAAACTTTCAGTTTTCACTTAAAATATATTTATACATATATATTTTTTAATGAGAAAAATAACATTTTTTTTTTTTTTTTTCAATTGATTAGGTATAGTTAAGATAATAAGTTTACTGAGGTACGTAATTCCGTGAATTCTAGTGGACTGTTTCAGCTTTTGAAGTGATCAGATTTTTCCAAAATGTTAAATGAACCTGCCAATTAATTGTCTTCTAAAATCTTAACCAGAGCTTTGAATTAAGCTTCAGAGCTTCTGTTTAAAACAGTTTCAGGTTTGCAAGATTTTTGGAATATGAAGAAAGCTACTACACATTGTACATTTGCTTGCTGTTACCTTCAGAACTGACAAACAATATCACGACAAATTTCATTCTAATTTCTTCTTTCTCTTTTCTTATTTTAGCATTTTCCTCCTAATTTTCAGATGAAGACACATGACATGAAAAAGTATTTACAATCTTAATACACTTTCTTAATAGAAATCATGTTCTCATATAATGGCACTGCTGACATTATCAGAATTTTATTAATTTACATACATCAGCATTAATTTCGAAACAAAAGGCGTTCTTTTTTTAGTCGTGTACTAGGTATTTGTATTACTCGCTATGTATATGGTAGTTATTAAATTAATTTACTTCTTTATTGAAATATAAATTTGTGACAACATTTTGAAAAATTGTTACTATATGTCCTAGGCCATAAAATAACACAATTTTACCAGTGATCCTGCCACGAATTTTGCATTTTCCCCTTTATGATAAAATTATTTCCATAGTAACAATTGAAATGGGGAATAAAGAAAGCAAACACATTTTTCTGACCCCTCTCCTATTTCTAATCCTGAACCTATCTACTCTAAACTAACCTAAACATTTCACAATTATGCTTTACAGTTGTAACAATTACGCATGCATATTGCTAGCTAATAAATTTTCATTAGAAAGTCTTTATTAACATGCATATTATAGTGAATTAAGTTTATTTATATTTCATTAAATACACAGAATTATTATTTTGTAGTTGGCCCCTTGGATTAAATCATACAACCTATTATTCAAGAGCTTTATTAACTGCAGCAATTTAGAATAAATGTAAAATTTAACTAATTAGTTGCTGTGTTTTAAAAGATTGTTCTTTAAATATCTACATAACAAGAAATAAAAGAGTACATATGAGATATTTCATCAGAAAAATTATTATAAAATGTACAAGTTAAAGATTATACAACAAGTATTAATATTTGTATATATATATATATCACAGTAAGAAGTACCATATGGAACATCTGTTCTACAATGGTTTTTGAGAAAATATTAAGGTAATAATCCTTTTTGCTTCAGATTGATTATGGATTCTGCAATGATACGTGCTGTACTTTTTTGATAGCCACCGCTTGTTAGGAAAATTATGGGGATGCTCCTACTCATAGCAGCTTTGAACACTATTTCATCTCTTTCTATTATACCCTGAAAATTAGAAAGAAAAAATAAATAATGAAATGAATTTATTGAAAAGCAGTAATAATAAAATGTAGATTATTTTGATTTACAAGAATAACTTAATATATAATCTTAACATTTCTAAAATGATCATTGGACAACAAAATACAGCATAATATTAATAAATTTTCAAGACTAGTTTGAAAGGTTTAATTACAGAACATTCTTCTTCAGCTGCAAAAATGTAATGATGAAACAGAAGCTTTGTTCAGAAAATAATAATGAGAAAAAGGGAATAAAGACACTATATTAATCTCAAGAGCCACTCCAACTTAGCACGTCCACACATGCAGCCACAGCCCATCATTGCAATGATCAATCTTATCAATGCACAGGACTCACAATCACGTCCACAAAGTGGGCTTAATCACACCAAGCAACTGTATCTCCTCATATGAGTGTGCTGCAATCTCGAGAGAGCCACTCAACACTTGAAAATTTGAAAGAATCAGAATTCTTGACCTATCGCAAAGGAGCTCTTTTGCGCTAGTGGTAGAGAATTTGACACAGACCCAGGATCAAATCTCAAAGTCATTATCATCTTCAAGGCCATGTGAAACTCGTGCGCCGCTGCACTTCTCATTGGTAATGACAGATGGTGACACAGCTAAGCAATTACATACCAAGCGAACATATCCCCCATGTGACTGCATCAATATTGATGCCATTTATTGATAAAAAATAAAAACAACTATAAAATAATTTTCTTAAAAGCTGATGGTAGAGATACATTGAAATTGGGATTGTTAACTAAGTGTTTTATGAACGTGAAATGCCTCACATCTAATTCACCAACGCAAGATGTATTCTAAATAATTTTGCAAGCCCCGACTCCCCCCAAAAGAACATGTGATTCCTCCTCTCAACAGCATTCAAAATAGAGGACATTATGTGTTTCATATGTACCCTAGGAGTTCAAATCCAGAATGAGATCTTTAAGTATGGAGTTGCAAATTTTATTGATAAAAAAGAATAACCTGAGAGTTGAATTTCTTTAAAATGCATGCAGTCTTATGGCTAACTGAGGGAAAAAAAGGAATGACAACAGAATTCTTATAATCTCCTAAAATTAGAGAATGCATTTTGATGTGCTCAGATGAGAATTTTTTAACCACTTCGTCACAATAATATAAGGAGAAAAGCCTCTGCCTACTGGTAACTGCTTTTAAGTAATTTAATCAAGAGTATATTTGAAGTAGCAAACTTGAAGTGCTTGGAAACTTAAGAATAAAATGAAGCTAATTTCTGTTTAGTTGAACAACATGATTTGAAGCAGTAATACTGAAGTTATATATGTTGCACGTGGCCAAGATATTGAGGAACAGAAGGGAATTGGTCAAATGTGAACTGAATTTGTACTTCTTCAAATGTGAACAGAATAGCAGGATCAGTGGAATTAATTACAGCAAGACATTATTTAAATCATCTTTATTACTGTCAAATATAGTCAACATCATGAACAAAAGTATTAGCACAAACAGTGACACTAAACTCTTAAATGAAGGTCCATATAATCCGATTCCTTTCTCAAAAATAAGAACTGCAGTTTAATCTTCATTAATCCTTCCAAACCACTTAAAAAACTGCTTATCTCATTTATTGCAAATAAATTTCTAAAAATCTCATTTATTTCATTTCTCATGTATCAAAACTGATCAGTTAATTTCCCTTACTCAACTTTGAAGCAAACACGGTTTGCTTTTTAAAGTAAGTACAACAACAAGCTTAACAATTAGCCATGGGAAGCTTTCATATTCTTACTGATTATGCAGCTAAATTATTTGAAATTTTAAACTTCCATGTGTGATTCTGTTACACGAATGATACCTTTACTCTGACAGCAATAAGAATTAAAGAAGCTTCATAATTGAAAGATGAAGGTCTTTCAATTATGAATTCTACTTATCCTCCTATTCAGTTTGCTTTTGAACTTGAGATCCTTTAGTTTTTGACATTTTGGTCACATCCAACATATCCAACTTCAGTACTACCATACCATAAACCTTCCCCACTACACTTCAAATGTGTTGTTTGACTATCTAGTCCATTTCAAATCTCTCATTCGACAAGGTAGCTCCATTTTATTTCTTTTTCTAAGCACTTCAAGCCTGTTCAAGAATTAAACTATTTAAAAGTACTTGTTATCAGGACAGGCTTTCCACCCAACGATTCAAAAAGTGGTTAAAAAACTCTCATCTCAGCACATCAAAAAGCACTCTCTCATTTTAGAATGTTACAAAAACTCTGTTGTCTTTTCTTTCTTTCCATCAATTAGTTATAAAACTGCACACACTTTAAAAAAACTCAACTGTTGGGCTGTATTTTTTTCTACAAGTAAAATTTGCTGTTCCATATTTAAAGATCCCATTCCAGATAATATCACCTGAGGTATACAGTACAAAGTACGTAAGCCGGACTCGTCGGGACTTCGGGGATTCTGGATTAAGGGTTTTTCCGGATTATAGATCATCAATTTAAATCTGGTAAGATGGCATGCAGAAATTATACAATTAAAAATATGAAATGTAAAAAAAAGTAAAAAAGGAGCTAAATAGAATGGTTGAAACTGGCATCATAGCGAAAGCTGATGAGCCTACAGAATGGGTGAGCAACATGGTTGTGATAAATATGCCAAAGAAATTGAGAATTTGTTTAGATCCAAGGCAGCTTAATGAGGCTATTCAAAGACCTCATTATCCAATCCCTACAGCAGAAGCTCTTATGACAAAACTCCAAGGATGTAAAATATTTACCATTTTGGATGCCAAGAATGGATTTTGGCAACTACCGTTTGATGAGAAGTCATCATACTTCATCATACATTTACAATGCCCTGGGGAAGATTCGGTTCTTCCTTTCGGTCTGAACAATGCACCTGAGGAATTTCAAAGGGCCATGGAGGAGATTTTTAGCAGTGAGAATGAGATAAATCCATATTTTGATGATTTAGCCCTAGGATCGCCGTCTGTCGAAGAACATTGCAAACTGTTGCGGAAGACACCACTTACGATAGCCAGAAGTGCTAATCTAAAATTTAACATCGAGAAGACACAGCTATCTCGGAACTCTGTGACTTATTTAGGACACGTATTATCTGATAAACGCATTGCACCTGATCCAAAGAAGATCCAAGCGATTTAAAAGTTTGCAGAACCAAAAGGCAGAGAAGACTTGCAGTGATTTATTTCTAGGAATGTTGACATATTTAGCAAAATTCACACTTCAGTTGTCAAGTCTAACTCATTCGTTAAGGCAACTTTTGAGAAATGATAGCGAATGGTTATGGGATGAAAACATCCAAAGAGACTATGAGCACCTAAAACAGATGATTGTTCAAGCCCCATGTTTACAGTATTTTGACAAAAGCAAACCTGTAACCGTGTCAGTAGATACCAGTAAATATGGAATTGGAGCAGTTCTCCTACAAAATAATCAACCTGTGGCTTTTGGATCAGCATCATTGACAGAAACGCAGCAAAGGTATGCGCAGATTGAAAAAGAACTCTTAGCAGATGTATATGGGTTAGAACATTTAAACTACTATACATATGGAAGACATGTAACAGTGCAGACTGATCACAAACCATTACTAGGCCTTAGTAAAAAACCTTATGATACAATCTCACCTTGTCTTCAGTGCATGCTCCTCAAACTGAACAGGTATGATTTGAAATTGGAATATGTCCCAGGAAAAGAATTGCTAATAGCTGATGCCCTGTCCAGAGCACAGTCAACTGTTGACACCTTCAGTCAAGAACCTACTGTTAATGTAAGTCGAGCAACACAAGCCTCTCCAACAAAATGGCAAATCGTAAAAATGACCGAAAAGGACCCTGAATTGCAAGATGTGTTATTTCATATAAAAAATGGATGGCCAGAAAGAAGCAAAAACAAGGCCAGCAGCACAATCTTACTGGCATTGCAAAGAAGAGCTTTATACAACAAAGGATGGAATAATTTGTCGAGGACGACAACTAGTTGTGCCAGCATCTCTTAGGAAAGAAATTATGAAAACCTGCATGTGTCTCACAAAGGTATAGTTTCTAGTAAAGCTAGAGAATATTTTTACTGGACTAACATCAACAAAGATGTGGAAGAATATGTTTCTAAATGTGCAATCTGTCAGAAATATCAACATACTAATCAAAAAGAAGTTCTTTTAGACTGTGATCTACCAGAGAGACCCTGGCAAAAAAGTTGCCTGTGATTTCTTTTACCTGAAAGGACAACAATATCTGTTAATGATAGACTACGTTTCAAAATATATATAGCTGAAACCACTTAAAAGTATAACTGCTCAAGCTGTAATTACCAGTCCATTTTTGCAACACATGGAATAACAGAGAAGCTCATCACTGATGGTGGACCACCATACAACTCAGAAGCATTAGGGAAATTTCTTGAAGAATGGGGTGTTATGCATAACATCACATCACCACATTTTCCTAGAGCAAATGGGCAAATTGAAAGATCTGTCCAAACTCTCAAGAAGTCTCTGAGCAAAGCTGCAGAAGAAGGAAAAGACTTGTATATTGTTTTGCTAGATTACAGAATTCAACCTGCGAAAGATTTGCCATCCCCGGCTGAATTATTATTGGGAAGAAGACTGAGATCTTTTCTGCCATCACATCCTAAAGCATTGCTATCAAAATTTCAAATAAAAGGTGCAAGTAGAGCCTTAGAAAAAAGGCAGATGGTGCAAAAGAAATATGCCAATAAACATGCAACCCAGCTTCCAAAACTTCATGAAAATGATAAAGTGTGGTTCAAATGGAAAATTAAAGAGCCTTGGAAACAGGGTATGATCATGAAGACAGGTCCTCAACCAAGATCTTATGTCATAAAAGTGAACGATGGAACTGTGTATAGGAGAAACCAACATCACACTTGTAAAGACAAGTCTATGTGTGAAATGACAGAGTGGAACGGAACAGCAGAAGATTTGTTTGCACTTGATCAATCAACACTGGATCAACCTGTTCTTGTAGATAATGATAAGCAGGATCTGCCTAAGGAACAGGAAAGTGATTCTACTAAACATTCTCAAATTCCAGGAAATGTATCAACTGAACCAATGTTAAGACGATCAAGTAGAAATAGAATAAAACCTCTTCGATATAGAGACAATTAGGAAGAACTTATTGATGGCAAAAAATTATACTTTATTTATAGACTAATTATGGAATTTAATGAACTGTTCAGAACTCTAAAATATCAGTTTAATAAGTAAGTCACAATTTTAATGATTTAAGTGAGTCATCAAGGTGTGCAATTTTCCTATGTTCTCTAAAGTCAACTGTTAAGTAATAATTTAATGTCAAAATGTTTTCTTAAGTTAACCACTAAGTAAGTAATGATGTAAAATAATTATTGTACTAAGTTAGTAACATGGACTAGTCTTGTTCTATAAATAAAAAGGGCATGTTCGATATTAATTACTTTGCTTGCCGATATATGGCAGTGCCTCTAACCTCTTGACTAGCTACGCAAGTGCACACTATTTGTGCTGCGCCACACTCTGGTCACTTGCCGCCAACCATGTAGCATCAATGTCTATCTTGTGTATAAGTACCATAATTTCTGGAAGAAAGGACGCATCAGCGGAATCGCCGCACTCAAGAAAAATGGCAGAAAAAAATTTAAATTACACAGAAATGCCGCATCAGCGTAAACGCCGCAACAGATTAAATTGCGCGTGTTATTGTCGTGGGTCGTATAGATGCAAAATCTCAACCTAAGTCCTGATATATGACATATCAGTTAAGAAAAATACATGCAATGAAACCATAACTCAAAAATAAATTAAAGGTAAGAAATGTTGAAAATATATTTACATTCACGTATATACTTATATTTATCCACTAAAGAAGTCCATATTTGTAATAATCAGACTATATTATAAAAATGTTGCAACAACGAAATATTAAATTTGGATGACAAAAAGAAATTTTAAATTTTACTTACAAAAGGAATTACAGCAAACTATACATTATATGAAGCCATCAAAATCTGATTCTTCACTATATGAATTAAAAAGATTTAGTAAATCCTGATTCAAGTCCAAGTCTTCCAGATCGTCACATTCATCCTCTTGGTTTACAGTCTTTTTATCTAAGGGTATAATTTCAGCTTCTTTGAACCCTGCTATTATTGGCGATGTTTTACTGATTTCCAGTAAAACACTTCCTACCCACTTTGCAACTTCTTCAAAAGACGCTCTACGCATTTTACTGCTTTTGGTATACGTATGCAATCCTTCACTCATCCAACACTCCCACCGCTTTCAGACTTCAGCTTTGAAGGATTTATTACCTGACAAATCTAATGGTTGTAAGATTTTTGTCAAACTACCAGGAATTATTGCTACGGTCGTAGACAATTTTTGACATCTGGTTTTCACTGACTCAAGTAAATGAGCACGCATGGAATCCATTATCAATAACCCATTTGGTTGGAAAAAAGATCCCTTACGATACTGCAAAGCTTTTTGTAGCCACTCATGCATGATTGTTTCGCATATCCAGCCGTTCTTGTTTGCACAAATAATTACGTTATTAGGAAATTCTTCCTTTGAAATAGTCTTTCGTTTAAAAATGATCATCGGCTTTAGCTTGTCACCGTTTCCGGCACAAGCTAACACACATGTAAATGACGTTCTTTCATGCCCCGTCGTAAGCACAGATACAGTTTTTGCACCAGTTTCATCAACAGTTCTGTTTGCAGGAGAGTCAAAAGCTAACGGCGTTTCATCTGTATTTATTATCTGTGACTGATTTTTTTTTTTTTTTTTTTTTGTCAATAATATCTGTCACATATTTTAAAAAAGATTCCTTTTTATCCTGCCAGTCCATTGGTAATTGTTGCCCAACTGTTGTTCTAGTACGCACAGAAATATTTTTTTTTTCATAAATCTGCTACACCAGCAAGACCCTCCTTTGAAATCATTTATGTTCATTTGTTTTGCTATAAATTTTGCTTGTAAGCGAATTTTTACAATCGAAATTGCCATTCTCTTTCCTTGTTGCTCCTTTATCCAGTTTGCAAGGTCGTCCTCTAGATTCGGCCACCTTATCACTGGCTCGTTTCTGTTGTGGCATATTTTTAAGAAGTTCTTTTTCAGTTCTTCAACGTCGAATACATCTCTCGTCCACTTCAAACTCTCGAGCTGCTGCTCTATTTCCAATTTGTTCAGCACGTGAAATTACATGAAGCTTAAAACCAGCAGTATAGCTTCTGTGCCGTCTAGGTGACATTTTCCAAAATTTTACGCTCTCTTCTTACTTAAAAACTATCCAACAAATACTTGTACCCAGACTGATGGGATCTGTATCTGGCAGAGTACCAAGAAAACTCGATTCATGCTGAAAATGCAGGTGGAGTCGTGTCCGCCTTTGAAAAAAATTGCAGAAAAGGCAGGAGTGGGGAGAGGATGGGTCCCAGAAGATTCATCGAATGGCAGAGGAGAGAGACTATTCAAACTGATGAGAATGTTGATTTGAAAGGGGGAAGAATGTTATTGTTCTGAGATCCTATTTAGGGTGAATAATGCATGTAGGTCCGTTCAAGGGAAAGAATGTAAACAAAATAAAATGTTGGCAAAAAGCAACTGAGTGGTCTTTTTGTGTGGGAACAGCACCAGTCTATGTACAATGACAAGGCCATCCAAACTATGACAACAAGGTTTTTCAACACTATGACAATGACATCATAGGAAATATTTTATTTTTAGTGCACCTAAACGTTGCATGGGTAGAAATGCCGCACCCGCTGAAAATTTAAGTTTTAAACACATAAATGTTGCGGCATTTCTTCCGGAAATTACGGTAATCTAATTTAATCTTATAAATAAACAGTAATTTATCTATGTTTGACGTGTCAACATATATAACACTTAATTCATAACCAAATCTAAGATTTTTATCCCAGGTCACAATTTTTGCTAACAGTGATGCAAAGTAATGTTCCAGACAGCAGCCAAAGTAAGTATTGTATGTTTCAATATGAATTACTTCTCACAATCATGGGTTACATCATACAAAGTTCATACACTGACACATAAAAGGTTATCTTTATATTCTTCATCATTTCTTGGTTCATTGTTTCATAAGGTTTGTTATATTTGGCAGAAGAAAGATAACACTTTTTTTAACACTTTAGTTGTTAGCCCATTACAAACATTTTTTTTTTTTTTTTTTTTTTTTTTTTTTTTTTTTTATATCATAGGAATACATTATGGATTAATTTTAGACCTTAAAGTGCTATTATTTTTATACTACCAATTAACTGGGTGCCAGTTACAAAAGATTTTATTGTGTGTCATTTCAACCATAGTTCTGACAGTGCTAGCTGAGATTTGGCATGTCACAAAAAGTTTTTAAATATCCTTTTCTTTTTTACAGACACATGTAATTACAAATTTTTAATTGCCAATTAACTGGTTATAATTAAATATACTTTATTATTACAATATTTTCCTTTAAAAAACTTCATTCATGTTTCAGAGCAACTAAAAAATGAAAAAAAAAAAAAAAAAAAAAAAAAAAAAAACTACTCTACATAACGAAACAATTAAAATGCTGATTTTAAATACATTGAATTATTACTGATCTACCGGTTTATGTTATTTTTCTCAACCATTTAGCCTGAAGTGTTGTTTCATTGCATAGGTATAATGCAAACATAGAGTAACAAAATCTTATTTGCTTTTAATATGTATTGAAAATACTTATATGAAAATGATTTGCAGCCAAGTGCATTTAATAGTTTGAGAAGTTTAGAAAAAATGATATAAATTATTATTGTAAACTAACATTTTCCTCTCCCAAAAACTCCAAGCACATAACTAAGGCCCAACTAAACCAGTTTGGGGCCTTAGGCACAGAATCCTTTTAGGGGTTCCACTATTATTTTCCTGGTTTTCACTAAAGAAAAATTCAAGAGCAATTATAGGATAATTTGGGGCTCTCTTAAAACCTCTGACAACACTAAGACTCATTCTGTGGGTCTATGCATTAATCAGGTCCTGGTTCTCCTTCTTCAGATGTTCATTAGTAATTTAATGAAACAACTGAATATCCAAGTTTATTAAATGGCAACAGCAACAAAAAATATTTTTAATTTTCAGATTCATATCAATTACAATTTGTAAAGCGAGAAATTATTATTCAAATTTTTCTTTCCAGTATGAACATGATTTAATCATGTCATTAAATAAAATCATTAATTTTATAACAAATGCTTATCTCTCCATTTTATCATTACCTTATCACTTCGTTATACATCCTCTTAATTTCTAGTATAAATAATATATTTAAATTTATCAAAAAAGGCAATCCCTCAAAATTCAAGAACTTTTATATAATATGTGTATACCTGAGGTGATATTGCCAAGCATCCCAGTGGATCACCTTTTAATATATCAGTTCCAGCATTGTATACAATAAGCTGGGGTAGAAATTCTTCAAATGATTCCATCAAGTTCCTGTTGTAAAGAAACTGAAGCTGCACCAACGTAACTATGGAACAAGATTACAAATGTAAGTTATATGGTATATTTCATTCTATCATAACCTTCACAAGTACATGTTTTAATTCAAAAGTGTACTTGTATACTCAAAAGTGTACTTTTTATATTTTCATGAATATTCAATGCATGATGTGAAAAGGTTTTAGAATACTGATTGCCATGAAGAAAAAAAGAGAGGCTGATTGCTAGAATAAATAATTGAGTAATATTTAAATTAGCAGATGTCTTTTTAACTTTGTTTATGAATATGAAAATGCATTTTTTAAAAAATTTTTAGTGAACTGTATGCTAATTCTGAAGGAATCATAAAACTAACTCTCATGCATTTTACAATTAGTGATGATATTGATTGAAAATATAAATAAATGCAGTTTCTAATAATCAAATATGTGGTTAACAAATATAACTCTATAGTCTACAGATCAGTAATATTTCTTGTTTTCAAACATTAAAAGCTTTTCATTTGTCACTTAATAATATACATAGCTATAGTTTGACCACCACAGATGACTGCAAGCATGCATACACCATTTAGACTAATTTATCCCTGAAACAGGCAGGATAGACGTGCATCATGTAGGACGGATTTTTTCACATATCTCAAAAAGCACAGATTTAAGGCAAAAATTACTTTTGAATAATCTAAGGTGAAATTTGATCCTCATTTTTTATTAATTGTTTTGTTACACTGTGATATTCCCCCCTCCCATTGGCAGTACTTAGCTGGTTTAAGCTTGGCCACTACTAAGGCCAGAAGTGGTGGCCACTTTATTGTGGAGGCACCTGGTAGGCCATCATTACTTCCTATGAAGGGACGTAATGGTAGGCCATCATTACTTCCTATACAGCAATGCCTTCTTCGGGATTCAAACCCAGGTCTTCAATACCGCAGTAGGCTCCCGCAACCACTATACCATCTGGGTGGCAACACTGCGATTAATTACACTGTATTTAATTTATTTTATTTATTTATTGGTAAAAATATGAGTGTTTTTAAAACTTAAATTTGTTGCATTGTAGAGACATTAAGTTAATTGGAAAAGCCGGAGAGATGAAAAATTAGCAACCGCCTTCACCAGGAATCGAACCACGGACCTCTGGATTATCGGCCCAGCATGCAGAACCACTACAACATGAAGGCACGCTAGGAAAGTGAGAGAAATACCTTATAGCATATAAATAATTTAATGATAAAATGTAATAAATAATTGTTATTGGAGAACAAATATAACCAATTACTTAATGATTATATTTTATTGCATAATTTTCATTATATTATTAGTACAATATTATAATCAATTATAATGAAATATTATTATAATTGGTTGCAATAATTATTATAATTATATTAATAATTAATATGTAGATTTTTTTAATCTTCAAGTTTTAAACATATGCACATTATTGTAAACTCAACAAAGAAATTTCTTAATAATTAGTTATAGTAATAATTATACATTAACAAATAATTAATAAAGATTAATTGATTAATAAAGTTATCATTAGTCATTTAATTAATTATAATAATTATACTATAATAAATAATCATGATATTCTTTTTCAATTTTTGTGCTAAAATCTATATGCATTACTATTTACATTAACTGGAGAAGGAACACAAAATTTACTTTAAAAAAAAGGAATAAAATATTCTTGTAATAGTGATAAATGCCATGTTAAATACTGGTAAATATGGTGATTACAAAACTGGCAAATGTCACATTCAATTAACTATGATCTGCATAACCCACTCAAATAAGGTGAAAACTTGTTGACCATTTCTTTTGATACTACAAAAAGTATACATCTGCTAATAAATATAGTTCCATAATTTTTGTAACCTTATTTTTTAAAGTAAGTGATGGGATATGTACTGTTCATATAAAATTCATAAATTATGAAAACCAAATTCAACATCTCAGTTTCCAGATTTAAAATCAAGATGAATCTTAATTTCTGCTGATATGAACTAAAAGTGTAAAAAACACATGATGACAAGATTCACCAATGATATGAAGACTTTCCATCCTTCAATAGTAAATTCCCTCTTTCTGCTGAAGAAAGACCCCTTGCCCTGCAGTAAGTAATTAAACACTTTCTGGAGGATTCTAATTGTTTTAGCAGAATGCCAACAAATGCATTTGCATCATTTGAACTATATTACACTAATTTCTAGCATAACTGCACGTACAATATTTTACTTACAAAATCTTCGACTTTGAAGAACCTGACAATTATTAAACAACAGTAAAATATCACACCGATGGTCAGCATGTTAATTTTTAAGGGAGCAAAAGTTTAAAAATATGACACATAATACTTCCATTACCTAAGTATGGATAATTATCTAGTAAATATTACAAAACATTGGCATATTTTTCTAATACTCTGAGGTTTTAATTTGGTTGATGACTTATTTTTAAAAATATTTAAGATAGGAATCTTAAACACTTGGAAGTTAATCATTTAAAACTCGAAGTTAATCATTTAAACTCGTTTTATTAAAAAAAAACTTAACATTTAATTTTATTTATTAAAAGAAAACACTAGCTGAAAACTTTTCAGATTTTTAATTCTTTTAAATTTCAGAATTCAACTTAAAAATAATCTCACATTGATAATTTCTTTAATGATCATCATAGTTAATACAATCATTTTTATAACTATGTCAGAAATTGCACTTTTACATTTATAACAATACAATTTTACACTTATCAGAAGCAAATCTTATATTTTGCTTCTGATAATTTTACTATGATGTTCCACACAATTTCAGAACATTTTTTTATAATGTTATAATACTGTATCACACAATAAATAATTAAATTAAAAATTTTTCACTATTTAGATATGTTTTTCACTCTTTCACTATTATAAGTGATTTTTAAATGTGAATATAGTTGGTAGATATAAAAGAAAAGAAATACAGTAAAATGAAATTCAAACTGTATAACAATATTACATGGGATTTTTCAAAATATAATTTTAGCAACTTTTTACGTTTTCAATATCCAAAAAACTTTTTACAGCAGCTTTGAATATATTGAAAGATAAAGAATTATTCAGAAATGTTATGCATATTATGATACATTTTATGGCAAAGGTTTTAAAAGTTAAAATTTTAACTGCATTTAAATAACGACGAATAAAAATGCACACACACACACACAAAAATAAGCAGTCAAAAAAATTAATACGAAGTGCAACAAACTTTGACACTTTTTCTAAATATTCCGCATCTTCAGTCATATGTCTCAGTTCTACTTTTTTCCTTATAGCTCCTAAATTAGAAAAACTATTTAGGTATAAAATCATTACACAGTTAACAGAAAAATGTAAAAAGAAAAGTATATTTCATAATATTATTGATCCCCCCAAAGAAAACATGATTCCAAATGATTTCTTTAAAATACAAATGACAGGAAAATAAGGGAGATTTAGTCATGCCCTCAAAAAAAAAAAAAAAAGATAGGTTCAATGATATTTTTTTTATTAACTAATCCACAGCTGACCTTAAGTTATTGAATGTTAGTGAAAACTAATTAGCTTGCTGGTGGTTTAGAGTTGTTAGGAAAGAGGGGGGTAAATTTTGAGCTCTTCTCTCCTTTGAGTTGCTTAAGGGAGGTATAATTTGCAACCAGTAAAGAAGCTTATTGATTTCATATATCATTAAGACTATTTAAAGCAAAATCACTTACCAATAGAAGCAATGAAAAGTTTATAATCTTACAAAAAATAAATTAAGTTATTAAATTAAAGCTTTTACAGTTTTTATGGTACATTAATTTAATAAGTTTATGGTATATTAATTTAATAAATAAACTGTAATTAGAAGTACAAAAATCTTAAGACTGATTTATGCTATTTTCTGCCTCCTAAAAAACAAATATTTTGATACAGTCAAAAGTCCAGACTTGTCGGGACTTCGGCGATTCCGGATTATACATCATCAGTTTATTAATCTGGTAAAATGGCATGCAGAAATTATAAAATTAAAAATATGAAACTGTAATTTATGAAATAAAGGGTATCAAAATTTACAAAAAAAAAAGCTTAATATTTATTTGTTTACTTTATTAAACATTTCTTGCACGCATGAGTAATTCAATGCACGCATGCGTAAAGCATACATTACGCATAGTCGAAATTAGAAAATTGCAACCAGAAAACTATTTGATTTGTATTCGTGATATTTATAATGACGAGGAATTTGATTTAAATCATATCAAAGACGGAGTACATCAAGATGAAATACTACATCTAGTAAGGAATTATAAGCCGAATAAAATAAAAACATCTACCCTGAAGATAAGGATAGTGCTGACAGATCAACTTCCAGTTCATTGTGTGCCACGACGTTCCCCCCCCCCAACTGTGCAGAGCAGCGTGAAATTGATAAACATATTTCGGAATGGTTAGAGAAACAAAGGAGCCTTTATCCATTTTTTTGCAGCAATTCCATTTTTTGTTTGATGGACATCAAAACATGCTTTCCCTTTGTAGGTCCTTTGGCAGCTCCAGCATGGGAAATTCTATTTAACGTAATCGAAAGTTCCAACTTACTTTTATAAAATTGCTCTAACTGTCTGCAAAAAATAATAAGCTGGATCAAATTCGAAGATTAAGGAACAACGCAATCTGTTAACATTAACTGAAATAGATAATTAGGCAATTTTAGCTTAGCTTATACCGTCCGTTATACATTAAACGCGTATGCGTAAAGGTATTACACGCGTTATGCGGATGCATTGGTGCATGAAAGTTTGTAGCATTGAGGTCTGGATTATAGATCATTCCGGTTTATGGGTGTCCGGAGTAACGACTTTTGACTGTATTCTTAAAAAGCAAATGAAACAAAAATTTTATTTAGAAAATGATTTTATAATTCATAAGAAATTTGCTTCAAGCATTTATTTATAAACTTTTCTTTTCTCCCCACAACTTTTTCTTCCCATTTTTTGCTAATCAATCAAGGATATTTCAGACATCTTCCAACTGTATTATTTTTCTACCTTTTAAAACTAAAATTTGCCAAGTTTGAATAACTTAATAATCAACTTCAATGAAATATTAATTGTTATGAAAATCATCAGCTCTAAAAATATAGTTATTTAATAATTTCATTGCAGATCATATGAGCAAATACCAAGATATAAAAAATTCAGAGAAAATGGCAGAATTCGCTTACAAGATATTATAAACAGTCAGTCAAACGATGCAATTCTTTACTACTAGAGAAATATTAGGATTTGACTCATATTTTTAAAATGTATTACTTAACCTCTTAATGCACTCAACCATCTTAAATTTTAAATTGAGTACAATGAAATAAATTATTTCTGTGTGTCCAAGTAATCACATTAAAGATTTTTAGTCCAAAGGGGCAGTTTACCCTGAAGAACTATTAATTTCGTTTTGGCATTTTGCATCAAAAACGGAAAAAGGCTGTATCACTTTTCAAATCGTTCCACCATATATTATTGCCCTTTGTTATATTTCAAGAAATTAAATGATGAAGGATCTGCATAAACATATGTATGCTTCTCACATTGTGTTAAAACAACAGTACCAGATGCTGTACTGTTATTTGAATGCTGTACTATTATTGTGTTAAAACAACAGTACAGCATTCAAAATTTGAATAACATAATCTTCCATAGAATATGGGCATGTGGAAGCCCTAATTTGTATTTTAAATTTGTTTTATTATCGATTTCAGATTTTGTAACACTTCAACAAATTTTTGATTAAAAAAATAAACGATTTCAAAGCAAAAAATGGCAACACTGTTCAAAAAAAAAAATTTAGCGTGCCAGACTCTGTATCGGAAAATTTTAATTTATTTTTTATTTATTTCTTTCAGATATGACTAGAGAAGAATATATCTACTACAGTTTTGCGCTTAAAGACAGAGGTTGAGTTGAAATACAGAATAAAATAATTGGTGGGATAAAAGAGACCACTTTCTGAATTTTTATTGGTGCATTAAGGAGTTAATGAATAGAGCTACGCTCTATATGAGAGTTATTCTTAAGTAATATTCCTAAGTTGTAGACATTATTTCATACTAATATTATTTTTAACACATGTATACAATATAAGTTAATACTGCCAATAGTACAATCCATGTCTTTTTGTGATACCTGAAAACAATGTTATTCTTTTTGACAGATTAAAAGCATGTTTCATAATGATAGAAAAAAACATATCTGTAAACCAAACATATCTATAAACCAAAACAAGCTAAAAAGCACTATTAACAGTTAGTTATGTAATACCATTGTAAATACCTAAATGAAATAATGATGCACATAATTTTAAGCCAAAAAAATCACAACTTATAAAACAAATGCATAATATGCATATTTTTTTTTAATTTTAGGATACATAAATTATGAAATAGCAGCATTTGTAAGCCTCAGCTGAATAAGTAATTGATTAATATTATTTATATATAAATTAGGCAAGTAATTTAACAAATATTAACAAAAGTAAAGTTTAACTAATGTTTTTACATAGATTTCCGTTTATACATTATGAATAAATTATATCTGCATGTGGTAACTAACATATTCATCATTCATTATTATGAACAAAAGTTACAAACTATTACCATTAGCAATAAATATCTTCAGACACAAAATCCTGATTAAAAAAAGTTTTAACAAATTATATAATAAAGTTGAAAAGGTGCAGAACAATATTTATATAATTTACATTTACTATTTTAAAATAAATATTATAGTTACCTTTAGCATATTCATCATGGGGATATATTCCATGGTTATATACATCAAATATATAAACTCTGTCATCGCCCATAAAATCCCGTTCATGACCATTACCCTACAAAATACATATAGAAAAAGTTCAGACAATTTTGAAAAACTGGGGTCAGTCAAAATGGCTAAAGTTAATTAAAGTTGAATTTTAGTAGGTTTTCATAAAACTACTTTCTAAATGATCTTAGATATGTTAGATCTAAATGATCTAACTTAACAAATTAATCTATGCTTTAATTCAAAACCATTTCTGGTCACAATGTGAATATCTTAACTTCATGTCCATGCTTGTACTGTTTGTTAATCTATCGGATTTTAATTTGAGGTGGCCAAGAATCAGAAAAAGGAATTTATGTAATGTAAGTGAAGGCAATATTACAATGAATGAATATCAAACAGTATCTTTTTAACTACAAATGTATTTTTGCTACTTGAATATTAGCAAGTGCCGACTAGTACACCACAAATAATCCATTGCCACCTTTTAGCAATGAAATATACCCCTCTCAGGTTCATCAATTTTTTTTTAACTGAAAATAACATCAGATTGTTATTCTCTGCAGTTTGTATCTGCCTTCATAAGAAATCTCTTAAATAAGCAGGCAAGTAACTTACCTTGAACCAATTTCCAATTCTTACCCTAATATTTGTTGGCTGTTGCTGGCATTACATTATTATTAAATATTCTCCACTTTGTTTTGCCAAAAACTCTCAAGTGTTCCAACTTTCACTGCATGAGAGCTGGAATACTTGCAACTTTTTTTTTTTTTTTCAAATATTAAATACAAATCATGTCTGCAGCTTTTATGTTAGCTTGCAAATCATGTCTGCATCTGTTTCATTTCTCAACAACATACAATGCAAAATGAAGTAAAAGTTAATGAAATGGACAAATGTCCTAAGGACTTTCTGCACAGAAAGGGATATAAAAAACAATCACACATTTCTTGCCCCAACGAAATTGATGTTGAAATAAAAAAATAAACCATCCCTGTTATTTCTGCCTTAGCAGAAAAAAGAAAGAAAATTATGAAAATCTCATCTTTCAAAAAGAGTATGAAACAGTTTCTAGCATTACTGAATGTTCTCAAGAATCACAGTGAAGGGTGACATTTTGTAATGTATTAGTGGGTGACAGCTAACACCCAAATACTTCATTTTCTCCAGGGAAACTAAGGAAGAAGGCTCGGTTTTACCTAAAAAAAAACTACACAACTGCACATTTCACTTGCATTGTGTTAATTCACAGCATATCTATCTATAACAGTGTTTCTCAATCGCCGGTCCGCAAGAAATATTTGCCGGTTATTTTTGTCTTCATGATTTATTTATGAGAAAAAACTGCGCCAATGGGTCGAATTATTAAACTTACTGGTCTGTGAGAACTTACCGAAATATTTTACCTGTCCTTGAAGTAAATCCAGTTGAGGAACACATCTACAATACATGGAATAATATATCGCAGAACCAGAAAATGTCATTGTTAGGGAGAGGAATATAATGATGGTTGATATACTGGGGAACACAAAATAGCTAGAGCTTTCACTTTAAAATCACTTTTACAATCTGTATGAAAGTATGTATTGATGCTTTCAACAAAAATTTACTTAAACAACTGAAAATGAGTGCTGTAAATATCAGAAAGCAATAAAAAAATCAGAATTTTGTTTGCATTAATTTTAGAAACAGTATTAAACGTATATTAAAAAAATTATATAAATTAAATGTATATTGCTCTCATTTTTTCCTTTGGGAGTTTATTAAAACCAATTGATACTATACATAATACATATTCAATTTTTTCAAAAGCAACAATTTATACAGTACAAAGTCCGTAATCCAGACTCGCCGGGACTTCGGCGATTCTGGATTAGGGTTTTTTTTCAGATTATAGATCATCAATTAAAATCTGGTAAGATGGCATGCAGAAATTATACAATTAAAAATATGAAACCGTAATTTATGAAATAAAGAACAATTATGATCTAAAGGGTATCAAAATTTACAAAAAAAAGCTTAATATTTATTTGCTTACTTTATTAAACATTTCTTTCAATGTAAGTTGTATAAGTTGCTTCATTTTTTGTGCTAATACTTTCTCTTTAATTCTATAAACAGACATAATTTCTTGTTCAGTTCCCCTGTTCAAGTCCTGTAATCGCTGTATTGAGAATACCAACTAACTTGTTAATCGAAATTTTTTCGTTTTCAATAATACTGTCACTTTCTTCACTATCGGAAGCGGTATTTTCTGGATCTACAACCATACTACAGATTTCACCGTCCTTTCCTAATAGATTGATAATTGGGGCATTGTCGTCGCAATGAAAAACTTCTGTTATATCATCTTTATTTATTACCGCTTCTCCACATTCCTTTACAAAATCCAATAACTGGAAAATTTCACCTTTAGTTCACAATGTCCGAAAATTTTCAAATTCGAGGCTATCATCTTCATCGTCCTCACCATGAAACATGGTAGCTGGCCATAAATTATGCCAAGCATTTTTTAACATATGAAACATGGTAGCTGGCCATAAATTATGCCAAGCATTTTTTAACATATCTGGAGACACATCCTCCCAACACGCATGCGTAAAGCATATAAAAAAAAAAAAAAAAAAAAAAAAATTGTGGCTTCGAGGTCCAGATTATAGATCATTCTGGGTAATGGATGTCAAGATTACAGACTTTGTACGGTATTCAAGTCTAAAAACTCCTGAATTTCACTTTTAAAATGACAATATAATACTTTCAAAATTATTAATAATTTAATTAACTTGATATTGCTATTTTAGCTCAAAAGAACTTATTTCATTTCATAAAAAGAACTTTCTCCTTAATATAAAATCAAGAAAAATCAAACCTGATGTGCATCCAGGTCAACTATCATAACTTTACAAATGTGACTGTAATGCATAAATAAAAATTTTATACAGAGCGTTATATCAGCATAAGCACAAAATCCTCCGCCTTGTTCTGATGAACAATGATGAAATCCTCCTCCTATATTCAAAGCCCACTTTCGTTCAAGAGCCAATTTTCCAGCCTATGCAAAATAATATATATATATATATATATAAAATAAAAAAAAAAGATGATGAACAAATTTTTCATACAATTTTAATTGTTTTAATTATGAAAAACAATACTCTGTCAAGAAAAAAATTACCAATGACATAACGAACATAAAATAAAGATCAATAAAAGATCATAAGATAAGGAAAATGAAAATGCATAAGTATTAAACTCAATAACAGAGATTGTAATGCAATCACTATTAACCCTACGAGCATTATGGGTTTAGGCCTGAAATTTGAATGTTCCTCAAAATGTCATGAATGAATGGTTTTTCTTTATTAAATAAACGAAGCTTTCACTTTGTACGTCAGTCCTTTTCTTCCAACATACATATAACCTGAAACTGGTCCATTAAACACTGGCAGAAATTTTCAAATGTAATGAATATGAAAGCCATAATTTGATATGGAATTTTCCATCCGTAATACTAAGAGGGTTAATGCCACTTAAACACATACAAGGTGTGCCTGAAAAGTTGGGTGAATGGTCTCAGAGAATAAAGGAAACAAGAGTTACAAGTAAAATACTTTACGGTCTTAAGCACCATAGCAACCATTAGCTGGCCTAGTAAGCACCATTAGCTACAACTCACTTCGGCTGTGAAGACTGTCAGCAAACGTTTTGTGTGGAATCGCTTGAAGCAACATAATCATGTGTTGCTAGATATCTACAACGTTTATGAAGCGTAAGCCTTTTAGGGCAAATTTAAAGTGGTGATGGGGGGGGGACAAAAAGAAGTGTGCAATATGCAGGGTGCTGAAGAACAGTCACCTCGTGTTGAGCATGCAGATCACAGTATGCATACAGGTCTGGTACAGTTCTAGCTGAAACTGCTGAATGCATTGCAGCAACATTTTCAAAATTAACTCATAAACTCTGCATTGACAGATTGACCTTTGGGTAGAAATTCATGATGGATCAATTCCTTGTTGTCAGAAAAAAGTGATCAATATCGTCTTAATCTTTAATTTTTTTTTTTTTCCGGAAGAGTGGGAAGACGATGAACATCATGCTTTTGACTGTCATTTTTACTTCAGATTGTATTGGTAGTGTGATAAACATCCTGTTTGACAAAACTTCAGGTTCATGTTAAAGAATTTCCTTTTCTCATATGAACATTACCCCCAGTGTTTGCTATAAATGTCAGAAAAAGGAATAAAAAAAAAAAAGAGTCATCAATGATACCCCCCTTTGAGCGTTTTCCGTGGATGCAGTTGGAAAATGTAAAAAAAGGGTGTTTGTCTGAAAAATGCCTGAGGAGTAAGTCACATCATGCAATGGAAAAGCTGTTGTCTTTCCCCTTCTGTGATTGAGCTGTTATATTACTTTTATTTAACCAAGAAAATTGTCATAAGTTTCAAAATAAATACTTAACAAAAGACAAGTGGTCTTAATTTTTTCATCACGGAATTTGGCACATTACAGCTAAAAATTTATTGGTGGCAGCAGTGTAAATATGAAATCCATGGAAGCAGACTGCAGAAGTCAGTCTGGATAAACAGGAATGTAAGGCTCTTTAATACAGATAATCTTTAAGTTGCTGGACTATCTCGTGTCCAAAACTATTTCAAGCAGGAAAGTGTAAAAATTTTATTTGTTTAAGAAGTGGACTGTCAGGCTCTTGAATATAGCTCATTTTTAAGTTGTGGGACAGTCAATGTCCAAAGATCATCAGCATCTTATGGGACTGTTCAGTGTCTAAAAATATTTCAAGTAGGAAAATGTAAAAATTTCATCTGTTTAAGAAGCGGATTGTCAGGATTCTGACAACACAGCTCATCTTTAAGTTTGTAGGACAGCCAATGTCCAAAGATTATCAACATCTAGTGGGACCATTCCATATTCGAAAATATTTCAAGTGTAAAAATTTCATCTGTTTAGGAAGTAGCTACAAAAAGTGGTTTTTTGGGGACCATCAGTGTCCACAAAGTCACACGCCTTGAAGTGTAAAGTGTTTCGTGTGATTGTGCTCAAATTTCCGGACCTTCCACGCCCACAAAAATCTTCTAATTAACAGATTCTTCATATTCCAAGCATCAACCAGTGCACCAAGTCTATCCAGGTGGTTAAGCACCTTGGATTTTTATATTGACGCAGTCAGTTTAATTATTTTTAATTATTTTTTGTAATTAAATTCATACAAGTTCATGTAACTGTTTTTTTAGTCCACATTGTTTTTATAAAGCTTAAAGAAATGTGATGCTTTGCTTTTGTATTTCAAATAAGAAAACACAAATTTTAGAACCTGAATTTGTGTTAATATATCTTTTAACCCTGCAATGGAGGAGCCGGCGTACAGAGTACGCCAATGCCATCTTTTGAGCTGTAATTTTTAGACAACAACTTGAGCTTCCCTTCCTCAACCCTCCTAGAAACATTCCATGAGTGCAGTGCATCTGGTATTTCTGGTCAGTCTGATTTTCGTCTTCCTTCCGAAAGCAGTTTTTGTGAACATGTCGTGTTAGCAAATGCAGTACGCCGCTCCTCCAAGTATGTACAGAAAGAATATTGTACCTCCTGAACATTATTTGCGCATTTTAGAAGAAGTCTCGGTTGATGAAGACTCCAGCAATTTGTATAACGCATCTGATGTCGATGAATCAGAAGTCATCAAACATTCTGATCATGAAAGTGACTCAGAAATTGAGGGAAATGTTTCTAAATGTCCTTATTTTCCTTCCTCAAACCTATTCCCAACAAATGACAATTTTAGGGATATTGAAAATGACATGAGTGATTTAAAATATGAGGACGTTTTTGTAAAAACAATTTACAAAAAGAAGAAAAGGGAACTTATAAATGGAATAAAGTTCCCCTCAATTCGCCAGAACACCTCGAAAAAATTTGATGAAAAAAATATTCCCAAGTGCCAAAACTTGTGATGATATAAATGATCAGCTTTGTGCTTTCCGGAAAATCACAAATACAAGCATGATTGATGCTATCGTACAATATACAAATATTTATCTCAAATGTAACAGGACTCCTGATGATCTCCAAAACATCTCAAAGAGAAGCATGTATGATACGAATACAGCAGAAATGATGGCCTTTTTAGGAATTTTATTCTTATTAGGGTGCAAAAAGAAATGTCAAAACTCAATTTGAAGGAAGCATGGGCAAAAGACGGTATGGAATTGAAATTTTGCAAGGGATCATGGGTCTCAAGCGATTCAGAAACCTGTGTGCTGCTATTAAGATTCGATGATAAAAGCACAAGGTATGTGCGAAGAAAAACTGATAAGCTTGCTGCACTAAGAGAATTTTTTGAATATTTCAATTAGAACTGTCAAAAACTGGTGAAAACTTTTATACACCAGGTGACGAACTCACAATCGACAAGAAGCTGGAGCCTTTTCGCGGGAGATGCTCACCTCACAAACGTTTTTTACATTGAAGCTTGAAATTTATTGTGGCAATCAACCCCCAGAACCTTACAAGGCTTTTAATTCAAGTATTGACATTGTCAAAAGGCTAATTGGTGCATACGAAGTTTCCAACCGTAACCTGATGACCAATAATTGGTATGCAAGCTACACACTAGCTCAATATCTTCTTAACAAAGGTATAATAACTCTTGTGGGCACGCTGAAAAAAATAAAAAGGAAATTCCAAATCAATTCCAGCCATCAAAAACAAGAGAAGTCAGTAATTCAGAGAAATAAATGTTCTATGTCAGTACACTAAGTACTTTGCCCCTTTCTGCACGCCAAACACCTAAACATTGCATGCATTTACTACAGCAATACTCCTGCTACTAAGTCATATACGTAAAGCGATTAACCCTTAGGGTATGGATTTATTTGAAAAAATTCTTCTGTTGATTTTTCACAAACAACATTCACTGAAGTATTGGAAGAAACTTACTCTTATAACTGATACCAATCACTTTTGTCATAAACAAGAATGTACATGTTTAATTTTTTCCTAGTTTGAATGACGATTAAGATTCATCATCCACAACTTAGGCAAAACAAGTGCATGACAAGTCTAAGTCGTCAAACATACCCAAAGGGTTAATAACAAGTTTTCTCATTGCAAGCAAGTAAACCCAGGTCTCCAACTATGAATAGGCTCATTAATATATGGCAGCAAATATGTTAAAGAATAAAAGTTCTTACATACTAATTGATGGCTTAAACATATTTAAAGATTTCTAACTGATGTACAGTTTTCATCACCAAACAATAAATATTTTTATTCCCCATTTTTAATAACTCCATATAAACTGCACACGGTCACTCTAATCATTGTTTACTTCCATGCAAGTATCAATTAGTAATTGTGTATTTTCATATAATATTTGAGGCACCTTGTTAAGATAATAATTTGAATAATAAAAATTATGGTTCTTACACAGGTAAAGAAAATGAAATCATGCGACTCTTTGAAAATGATGAGCTACTATTGAATATCTAATAATGAGCTAGTTTTCATTAAATAAATTTGTATATGAAGAAACACAGCATTTTATGAAATGCAATACTATAAATTTTGATAAATTGTGAGAATTGTGCGAGATTACGCTTCTTGTGAACGCTAAATAAAATTTAATTTGAGTTTCTATTTATGTAAGTTTTAGTTTCTAATGAAAAATTTAATAACATCACATGAAATTTCTATTAATAACAGGATATACAAACACTAATACAGCAGTAATTGTTTAATAAAAGAATTTCTAGTATCAAATAAAAAAGTACATTTTAATCATTAATCACCTACTGAGGAATATATTTTTTTCAGGTTTTCATTTCAGAAAATTGATCAATCATATCTTTGCAATTTAACTATTTAAAGGTTTCTTCTTCCACAGCAAGCTTTCAGCCTTTCCTGTATAACTGAATTTCTTAAAATAATTCTTCATTTATTTTAAAACAGAGAAAAGTAAGTAATAATGTAGTATGTGATCTACAGCTTTTGGTTAGTTATTTATTTTTTAGATGGAATGACTAACATTGGCTTTTGTTTTAATCATTTCTTTTTACAGTTTCCTGCTGCTTCCCCTCCCCCCAATGAAAACAGATCACTGCATACATGACAAGAACTACAGCATGCACACACACACGAAAAAAAAAAAAATACAGATTTCTTAGAAGCAGGAACCAATTCAATTTATTACTGATGTTCCTTGCTTTTTTAATTTTATAGGTTGTATTATGACACTCTTAATGTGCCACCATTCTGAAAATGACAGTTGTCTTCACCTAGGTGAATGTGGTTCAGTACACAATGTCAAAATCAATGACCAAAAATTGAACCATCAAGAAAGCTAAACAATATCAGTTAATTTGTAATACCAAGAAATATTTTCAAGCTAAACAAAACAGAAAAAGGTCTTCCAGATTTTTTTTTAAATTAAAGAAGCATATATGTATTTGTAAGGGATCAATTAGCTCATCACAGGGATAAAGAGAAAGGGCTAGCTCATTTCTTTGTTCGACTCCTCGCCGACACGAAACTGTAGTTTCATTCAGCTGCGAGACGATTTTCTAGAGGTTACATATCCCAAATTAATTTTAATCATATATATATATCTGTTTTCAAATAATGTATATATTTAAAATAATTTATATATATGTAATTTTAGTCAGTTTTTATTTTAAATTCTACATTGTAAAGTACCGTTTACGTAATATGGTTTTTTGCGCTGTAGTAACTAGCCGTAGCACTTACAGAAGTACAAAAGGATGAGATATTTTATTTCATGGTACCAAAGGATCCAAATGAGGTTTTGCTTTTGATGATGGATACACAAATGTCAAAGACAAGATTCTATTAATGCGAAGAGCGGAAAAATCTGCAGCGAACATTTTCTATGCAGTGTTTATGAAGATGATATGAAAAATCGCTTGTTTGGATAGCCACAAAAAGAAACTGTTGAAATGGAATGCTGTACCGAAAGTAAATTATGATGAAAATAATAAATTGAAATTGATGATGACAATAATAAATCAAATTTTAATGATTTTGAAATAAAACTCACAAATGAAAATGTAGATATTCCTGAATGCCCTAAGTTTAAGGATAAGCAAGAATGCATTGATAATTTGAAGAACAAAATAATATCCTTAAAAAATTGTATTAAAGTATTGAAAAATAGAGAAAGGAAAAATTTTAGAATGTTTGTTCAGCAGCAAAGAAGGTGGACGACATCTAAATCTCAAATAGCGAAATTTTGGGGGGGGGGAAGCACAAATCGGAGAATTTGAAAAAATGTCTAAAGCCTATTTTTATAAAGACGCAGATTAATGTATTACTGAAAAAGAAGGAAAAAATCAGGTGGACTAGTGAAGATATTTCACATTGTATTGTCATAAGAGCTCTGTCATCTTAAAGCTATGATTTTTGGAAAGAAAAAAAATTAAGAAAAAAACTGGAATATCTTTACCTAGTATTAGCAAATTAAAGAAATGGTGCATTAAATTTTAGTGTAGTCCAAGAATTCAAAGTGATGTTCTTACTCTAAAGAAGGAAAGAGGCGAATATTTGTATTCTGTAGAAAAAATATGCGTTCTCAGTTTTCGACGAAATGCATATAGATTGAAAACTCTGCTATGACTTGTAAACTGGACCAAGTTCTTGGTTCTTTTCAAAACATGCGGTTTGTTTTAATCAGAGGTCTCATTTCGCGCTCTGCCTCAAATTACTGAGAAACCACATTTTAGATAAAGGATTTGTTTTAGAAGATGGAACTGTTTTAAATTTTGTTATTATTAAAGAGGTTTTAAATAGAGATTGAGAAGAAATCATATTCTGTCACAAACTAAAACCGAATTATTTAATGGTCAAGGGAAACGAGAGACAAAAAGTCGCTCTAGAGAAAACATTATTTTCAAAAAGTATCGCAAAATGTATACTCCACCCCACAGGAAATCAAAAAGCATCTGACTTCCACGAGTTAATCGATAATAACTTCGGTATTATGAATAGTATCAACAAGAATAACAAGTATTTACCAAACTAATTTTGTTAAGTACTTGTTATTCTCATTGTATCCTTTGTAACTAATTATTGATTAGATTTTGTGCTAGATTAGCATTCTAGATAAAATATAATAGTATAAAACATTAAAGTAATTGCCATAAAAAGACTTGCTTCCTTTACTCACACTTTTGAAAAATTAAATAACTGTATTAGGTACTCTGAGTAAAGCTATTTTGTCAAAATTAAGGTAATAATCTTACATACATTTATTTAATTGTAATATAGATATAAGTATAAATTACAAAATTATTTTAAAAAATTATTATATTGAATCGGAAGAGAATTATAACAATGTAAAATTTACAATTAGGCAAAAAATCAAATGTAGGTTAGCAGAAATGTTGCCATATATGTCATATATGTTTAAAACTATGTCAATGTAAAATTTTTTTTTGAGTAAATTTAAATAGCTGCTATTATAGTTATCTTAGAAGCAGTATAAAAATTCTCTCAGTTAACTTGCAAATAAAGAAATGATTAGAAATAAACGTGCATTAAATAAAAAAACCTGAAAATAAAAATTGAAAAAACCCACGGAACTTTATGTTAAAAGAGTAGCACATTTTATCTATTATTTTAAAATTGAGTAAGTATTATTAAATTATTATTAAATTTTTAATGGTTCAGTCTAAAATGCATAAAGCAGTAACATTGTCTCTTCCTAATTATAGCTATCTTTTACACACAGCTCATTTCAAACGCTGGTTCAAAAACGTTAATTTTCAAGCTGTGAATTGCATCTGCACGCTCAGTGTCATCATGACTACGTCATCACTTCTCACTTTCTGCTTCAGGGGGAAAAGCTCTATGAGTTAGCCCTTCTCTTCTAAGTCCTGGCTCATCATATAGTGAGAACACCAATGATCACTTTTGTATTTTTGACAAAAATACCTGAAGTACCTCCGAAATTGGCAGTTAAAAATGATCTGTTAATTAATGAAACATGTACCAAAGAAATTTATATACATATGAATGTACTTTCAATTAATTTACAATGTAAATAATTGAGAAATTTATACAGAATTTTTTTAATCAATAAGTTAAAAATAATTTTAAAAAATGCTCAGAAGAAAATCAATTCTTACTAATATTGTCCCTCCAGTATGATAACGAAATGGCCTTAATACTCTTCGCTGTACCAAACTATTTGGCATGGCAGCAACACATGGTACTTCTGTTATCCTAGCTACATTAACACTCCACTAAAAACAAACAAAATTATTTTCAATAGTTTTTACAAACAGCATGAAGAGGAAATGTGATTGTTAAAGTGCACCTCTGGGTGCTAGCTAATATCCAAATAGTGAAAAATTTACTTTGTCTTTCTTAAATGAATTACATTATATTAATAATAAATATCCCATGATTATGATAACATAGCATAAATCTAAAAATTAATAAAATGAGAAGATTTCATTAATTATGACAACACTTGAAATAAATTATTAATACGTAACATGGATTAATTTCAGGGAACATTACAAAAGCAAGACGTACCTTAAGTTTATCTAAATAAGATTTAGGATGAACCACTAACAAAACTTCATCACTAGCCTCAAGTGGTTTAACCACAGTATTTTTATTCACAATGCCAGCCTCTGAAAAAAAATTTGAAATATCAAAATTTTTAATTTTGTTAACATGCACAAAAAGATTTAAAATATCATGAAATGAAATGCATTATCCACAGATGGAAATCATATCAAAGCAATAAAAAGGAAATTTTAATATAATACAGGATTTTGAGTATTACAATACAACAAACATAAGAATGACAAATTACTGAATTTTAATGCTTTTAAAGATACTCAAAAAATTATTAACAAATAGAAGTCAGTATTTTAAATATTTTAGAATGTTCTATGAAAAATAATTAAAATATGGCAGTTATACTGTAATTGACACTGGTAGCTCTGTTACAATAAACTACCAATAACAATTCCTTGCTGTTGTAAAATAATTAATTCTAGCCATCTTCAGATATTTGCAGGTCCATTTATGCCTTGACTATCCATATTTTTTCTTTTCAACAACCATTGCTTCCAATATCTTTATTCTGAATCTGAGATTTATCAAGGAAGAGAACAGAAAATGCCAAGTTTATCAAGATTATTTTAATCATAAATACTGTATTCCCATGCAACTAAATTATATATCATTAAAGAAAGACTATCAAGAAACTTATAAATTTAGATAAATCTATAATAATAGAAGTAGGACATTGATTTGGAGATAGTTGGATCACATTTAAAACAGCTAAATGATTTATTTATTGTGCCAGGACAGATCTAACATCCATCAAAATTTGCCCTAAAACTGAGACTTTCAAAGATGATGTAACACGTAGCTTTGAAAGCTAACACCTTTGAAAGTTACATCATCTTTGAAAGGTAGCACATGGTAGCAGAAGATAGGGGGCCAGGGGGGAAATGATGATTAAAAAGAATTTATTTACAAAGAGAAAAATGAGACAAAGCTGCCAAATTAGCCATAATGACACCAGTATTTTTTATTATAAATATTATTTATTTATCAATAATATTGATAAATTGATTATTGATATTTATCAGTAATATTTATAATAAAAAATTAACTATTTCATACAGATATTATATCACATAGTGAATCACAAGTAAGCTAATGGAATTATCATTGACAT